GGCGTCGTGGCGGTGGTGGAGAGGACTAGCAGGAGGGCACCCTTGGCCCTATTGTCAGGGGACAGCCGCTCCAGTGGATGGCCGCTGAGGACCCAACGTCGGCTCTTTTCTCGCTCGACGATGCTACCGAGAGCATGGAGCGGGAGAATCTTGACATCGGGTTCTCGGCTATGATGGATGCCTTGAGCCAGGCCAGTGGTGTCCTGCGCGAAATCCTCGTTCCTACTGGCCGGGTATCCACTTAATCTTCTCCCTCGTTTTCTTCTTTCTTCACGTATTTTTGTGTTTTCGTATTTTTGATACCGGTCTTCTTTTCAGTGTATCATTGCTCGTAGTCGGAACAAATCCCGGTTCCTCCACGAGCAAAAGGCGGAATGGGACCACCTCACTGAGGAGGCCCGGCTACGAGGAGATGTGAGCATGCAGCACGCTGCCGCCCAGCAGCGGGAGGCCGAGGAACGTCGGGACGCGGAGGAGATCCATGGGATGTTTGAGGACCCATCGGCGAGGGTAAAGCTGGACGAGGAGGAGGCTGCCAGGATCCAGAAGGAGCGGGACGAGCTGCTCCAAAAGGATGCCGAGGCCAACGAGCGGGCCATCGAGGTCCTGGCTGAGCTGGAAACAGAGCAGGATCTCAGGCGGAAGGCCAAGGAAAGGTCCGTGGCAATGCAGCAGAGGGCGAACCAGGATGCCGAGGTGATCTCCCAGCTGCACGGGGAGCGGGACGAGCTGCGCTGGACCAAAGAAAGACTTCGCTCAGAGCATAGCACAGCCCACAAGGAGGGCGACTAGGCCATCCAAGAGCGTGGCGAGGCACGTCGGGAGGTCGTGGCCCTTCCGGCGGATCTTGGAGACACGGTGGCTCAGAGGCTAGAGGCCAAGAAAATTTCTGCCGGGCTAAGCATGGAACTCGCCGAGGTGCGGGGGCTTCTTTAGGTCGAAAGCGATCAGCACGATCTCTTGTGCTCTGCCGTTATGGCGGTCTGCGATGACCTGCAGGTGGCGCAAGAGGAGGGGACCAGTTCCCTTATGACTCGTGCCGCTGGCATAACGGCGCGGGTCAGCCAACTTGAGGAGGACGCCTTTCACGCCGGGATCACCCAAGCCTTCGCTGTTGCCCGTTCTCATTATGATCGGGAGATCAACCTAGAGGTAATGAGTCTCGGCTTCACGCCTATCTATGAAGACCCCGAGCTGGACGAGATTGAGAAGGCGGTGACTCCCCTTGCACGAAACCTGGCGAACAGGTTGAAAGAAACGGTTCTCCCTCCGCGGAAGTAGTTAGTTGAATAAGTTTGATAAACACTTATCTGTGATATGTGAACAAGTGTCGGTACTTTTGTGTCTGAAAACGGATTCGTGACTTTGTTTCACAATTTTGTTTCATTTGTTCGATCTTACCTTCTTCCTTTTTTGCAATGAAAAAAGATTTATGCGATACGACCCTTCCGTTTGTTAAGACTGTAGGGCCCGAGGTGTTTAGGGGAAATTTTGATTGTGCTGGTGAGCAAAATTACCGTAGCCGTCTGGGCGTGGGCTTTTTGCAGTCTTACCTATCTGTTCCCCCGAACCTTGCCGCCAGTCTTGACATGAGGAGAAGGTCTGATGTAATGACTGTTTTGAAAAAAGAAAGGAGGTACTCGTACCTTTGTCAGCCCCCGAGTGAGATCCGACCCCTTGCGGTCGCTGGGGTCGGATGTTACTGGAGACCGGAGCGAGGGTAGCGAACTTACATTTGTATTCGCACGTACCCCTTACTTAGGACTTTGGTGATCGCTGTGTGACCGTGCGTTTGGTCTTATCGCTGGTCCGGCCTTCCCCGAGCCCCCACGCGTGGTGGGGATTCGGTCAAGGGCCGGCTCATTTTGTGACTGTCGCCCCATCGGCGGTTTTTCGCAACTGGAGGGGTTAAGGCGACGTCACTTGCCTTGATGGCTTGAGTGACGTGCTTTATGAGCTCGCTAACGGGGATGTTCGGAAGGAATCCGCTCCCGTTTGCTTTGCGACAGGGTCGGCAAAGCCCTCGGGTGGCGTTCCGTTGCTCCTTGGCCCGCCTTCCAACAGATTCCCCCTCAATGGGGATTCTATGGGCTCGGCTAGAGGCTGGATTGAACTAGAAGGTTGAGATGACCCTATCCGTCTCAATGCGGGCTAGGCAAAGGCTGCTGAGGCTCATCTGCATTTTCTCCCCTGGCTCTCGTTCGACGTAAGGCGGCCCCAGACCCTTCGTGGGTCAGCCTTCGAACCTCGGTCTCTCGATCTTGGATCGAGCGGCTCGAGCCCCCGAGCCCCTTAGGGTCTGATAGGGGTCGGCCATGTTTTCACGTGTTACCCCGTCCTCAGTTTCCGCAACTGGAGGGGCTAAGTTAACGATACTTGCCTCGATGGCTCGAGTGTCGCGCTCAATGAGCTCGCTAACGGGTATGTTCGTGTGGGATCCGGATCCAGCGACCGTAGCAGTACTCGTAGTAAAGCTAGGCAGAGACTGTAATTGAATAAGTTTGTGGGGGAGCCCCCGAGTGAACAGTCCTTTGAATTTAAGAGTACATTAGTCCTTTTCGTGATGAAATCACTTTGTAAGTGGCGAATTTGTGCAAAGAATGAACAAATTTTCATCTTTTGTTACGGCAAACAGCTTTTCAGCTTCCTCTTTTTGTAGAAGAGGTTTTGGTGCCCTCCGACCCTTCCCATGGCTCAGGTTGTAAAGGCTAGGAGTGCAGGTGAAACAGTTCTGATCACGCTGGTGAGCAAGGAGGTCGTAGCCGCTGGGGCGTGGGTTTCCCGCAGTCCTACCAGTTGTACTCAGAATTTGTTCCCGAAATCCTAGGCCTTAGGACTTGTTATGAGAAGAATGGAAAACTTAGAGAATGTTTGCAAAGGTAACACAGGAAGTGTTTGCAAGATAAACATACTTGCATCATTTGTATCAGCCCCCGAGTGAGGTCCGACCCCTCGCAATTTGCAGGGGTCGGATGTCACTAAAGATCGGGGATTTGTAAAGACAAAAACTAATAAGAAAAAGTATGCATTTATTAAGGGTAAAAACGACGTAGCTGTTCAATGTTCCAGGCGTTGGTGAAGACCTCGCCGTCGATGGTTTTCAACTTGTAGGCGTCTGGCCGGAGTACTTCTGCGATGATGTACGGCCCCTCCCAAGGTGGGGAGAGCTTATGGCGGTCCTTGTTGCTCTACACGAGGCGGAGAACAAGGTCCCCGACGTTGAAGGCTCGGTCCCACAACCATCGATCGTGGTACCGTCGCAACGCCTGCTGGTACTTAGCTGAACGGAGGAGGGCGATGTCGCGGGCTTCGTCTAGTTGGTCCATGGCGTCTTGGTGGGATGCCTCGGCTCCCTGTTCGTCGTATGCTCTAATTCTTGGCGCTCCATAGTCGAGGTCCGTCGGGAGAATGGCCTCAGAACCGTAGACCATGAAGAAAGGTGTGTAGCTGGTGGCCTTGCTGGGAGTTGTCCTTAGGCTCCAGAGCACCGCCGGGAGCTCGGCGACCCAGCGTGCACTGAACTTGTTCAACCGGTTTAAGATCTTGGGCTTCAGGCCTTGTAGGAGCATGCCGTTTGCGCGCTCGACCTGCCCGTTCGTCCGGGGGTGCGCGACGGCCGCCCAATCGATCTGGATGTGTTGTTCATCGCAGAATCGAATGAATTTCTAGCCGGTGAACTGCGTGCCGTTATCTGTGATGATGGAGTTTGGTACTCCAAAGCGATGGATGATGTCGAGGAAGAACAGCACAACTTACTCGGATTTGATCATGGAGATCGATTGAGCTTCGATCCATTTCGTAAACTTGTCTACGGTGACAAGTAGGTGGGTGAAGCCCCCGGGCACCTTTTTGAGTGGCCCAACCAGGTCGAGCCCCCAGACCGCGAAGGGCCACGTGATGGGGGTCATCTGGAGTGCCTGGGCTAGCAGGTGAGTCTACCAAGCGTAGTACTAACACCCTTCGCAGGTGCGTACGATTTGCTCGGCGTCGGCTACCACAGTGGGCCAGTAGAAGCCCTGTCGGAATGCGTTTCCAACCAAGGTCCTCGGCGCGGTGGTGACCGTAGATCCCACCGTGGATGTCGCTCAGCAGAAGTCTTCCCTGTTCGCTGGGGATACAGAGGTGCAGGATCCCAGTGTGGCTCCGTCTGTAGAGTTCGCCCTCTACAAGAACGAAGGACTTGGCGTGACATGCGAGCCGTCGAGCTTCCGTCTTGTCCGTCAGTAGTGTGTCACGGAGGAGGTAGTCGAGGTAGAGCGTTCTCCAGTCATCCAGAGGGTCGGGCTTTGTTGCTGGATCCTCTTCAAGTTCCACGACATTGGGACCGAGCGGAGCCGTCGGTTGGTCAGCCCCCGAGGCCAGATTAGATGGACCATCGTCGGCCCGCTCTGACCCTTCATAGTGCACCGAGGGTTTGTGTTGGTAGCTGGCGAAGACGCCCGTTGGCACCGGCTCACAAGAGATATGACCTTCTACGATGTTGCACTAATGTCATAGAAACTGAAAATTTTGTCGTATTTCACAATTTACGACGCACGTGCGACGAAAATGGATTCGTCACCTATTCCCCGTAGCTAAAGGTGTTCTGTGACAAAACTGATATTATCATCGTAATTTTTGCGACGTTCATACTTGCGTCATTGATTTACGACGCTCAATTATCGTCGTTATTAAGCAAAGAAAACGTCGTGAACCATTGACCATGGATGTCTATACAGGTGCCACGTAGGATAATAAAATGTCATACAATATTATTCATATAATGTAGTAATTCAATATATTGTAGCCAACTATATATATTGTAGCTAACATAACCAGTTTATAACCAACAAGCAAATTGAAAATGGCCACATTCATTACACCACTTGGCAAATCAGATCCATTAATAGTTGCATGCCCAAATAATTCTCATGTCAAACTCAACCAAAAATACATGAACCTCACATGTCCAAGTTATTACTAGGTCCAACAAGTAGCAAAATAATCGCCATGAAATTTATCTAAGTGCTGCACCAACTCTTGTACACGTGCTGCAGCAGTAGTGTTCTCTTGGAGGCCAGTGACTTGAGGCCAACATTTTGAAGAAATTTGTTTGATGGCAAAACATGAGCAACAGCTTCTCCAAGAGTCTGGTTGTTCCCCATCTGGTCAAACTGAGCCATGATAGCTTTCATTTGAGCCTAACATGACAAAAATAGTTTAGATTAGTAGCTAAAATGGGTTGCACAAGGGTAGCTAAGTAGTAGCACGGCTTAAATTTGCATTATCATCATAGAAATTCAGTCTGCAATAATATTCACATTCTTTTTTAACAAATAGCTAGCTGGAAGTGCCATCCATATTGCAACAATATTCAGAATCCAAAAAGCAGTAGTTCAATAGTGTCTATTAGACAAATTTTCCGAATATAAATGCACAAAACCTGGAATCCTAACAAAAATGTATACCATATCTATATTACCGACCGTTTTCTTTGACAAATTCCAACGGGCATTAGAGAATGATGCCTCATACTCGTAACCTTTGATCCTGGAGAAGAGTAACCATTGTGCCCACTTGCAATCACCCTGAAAATATCCGCAACATAACAACCAAATCAAACAAAACTACATATCTATAATGCCTATTGTAGTTCTGAAGTTCAACAAAAAAAATATGGTTGTACTATGAGCAACTATACATATTGCATTAATCAATTAGTACATTCCATTAACCAGATTCTAACATAAAAAATGCTTACAGATCCTTGCATCTTAGCCAGGATGTGTCGTAACAAATCCATCGGATGTGTAGCAGCTATCCTAGCATCTCAACTACCGTTTTTTCCAGACTCTTATGTAAGAAATGGGTCATACAGATCCATCGGATGTGTAGCAGCTATCATTTAATTACAGGATCACAGCCAAGATGCTCAAAGTGGCAAGATTTCTCAACACAAAATTTTTCAAGTCTAAAAAATGCAATACGATAGATCAAATGTAACAAATAATAGCAGGCTACTTAACATCTAGCTTCCCTGTCTAACTGTCCACAGAAACTTCATGGCAAAATTTCACATTTGGCAGTATACAAAGTTGAATTGTAGAGACAGGGCACTGGAAACACAATACAAGGCTGAAGGTTACTGACAGTATATTTAGTTGGACTATGTGCTGCCATATTTGGAGTGGAACAGAAATCTCTGAAATCACTGGTATGGCAACAGGACTTCTGTATAACAATAAAGGTGGACTGTAAAGGCATAGGTGTAGCAATGAAATCATCTGCTGGTGAGAACTATCTTGGGAGGATGATCCAATAAGCTGATTTATGTGTCAATCGGCAATGCTAAAGTGTTAATGCTAGATATGTAATTGTAATTTCCCATCCCCAAGTATCTGTAATCTGACTACTTTTGTCTTGAGTACCCCTCTTCCGTTGGTTCAGATTTTATATCCAGCTCAGCTAATGAATACTGAATAACTGGACGCTATGTTTATGATCTATATGTGCACAAAGTAGAACATAAGCTAAATAGGCCAAACAAACATAAGGCAGGGATGTTTACCATGTTTCAGTTGTACGATATAATGCCGCTGAGCTTACAAAGCATGTCAGTATACACGACACTAGGGCTAAGAGCAATGGCTGCCAATCCAGGAGGGAGCTGTTTCGCCAAGCAGTGTGTCAAGCCCTCAATTGCCTACTTCGAAGCACAATATGGAGCAACCTGAAATGGCAATATGCAATTTAGTATGTACTGTGGATTTTGATTCAACAGAAGAAACCACTATAATGCATTCAATGGCTTTTTGTCCGACCTCTGCAGCAGCAGATCTTTTCCAAGCAGAGAGAATAGATTGATTATAATACCATGTCTCTTCTCTATCATGAGTGGCACGAAATGGCGGAACACATTTGCCGTTCCCCTGATATTTGTATGGGCCACCGTATCAAAACCTTCCGCTGGAACATTATTCCATGTCTTGTTATTCTTGTTTATTGTACCCGCACAGTTTACTGCCAGAATACCTCAAGAGTAAGAACCCAGGAAATATTCTTTGTGCATATATTCACTAAATCAAACCAAAGCTTTACACCTACTAATTTCCACTGCTAGAAAACCAGATCTGAGACTGAGAGTGTGCACAGCAGTACCTCACGTCCACAGGAAGGGCTCCAACGGCATGCGGCCACCAAACCCAAGATGTGGCGGAGTGGAGGCGGCCACCTGCATCGTGGACCCCAGCTTGCGATGTTGTGGGAGGAGGCGCGGACTCGCGGAGAGGCCACCGCCGGCCTGGACGCCCGGGACGTAGCAGGCGGCGCGGATATGCGGGAGGCGGCCGCCGCCGCGGAAGCGAGGGAGAGGCCCGGCGGCGCGCATGGAGGCAGTGCTGTCCCCAGGATGTGTGGAGGTGGCTCGCGTGGATTTAGGATTGGGGAGGGGAAAAGTGAGCGGCTTAGGGTTCTGGTCCCTGGACGAGGTGATAAAGCAATAGAGTTTTTTTCTCTCATCATGTGGGTCACAGAGATTTTAGATTTCGGGCAGGCAGCGACGAGGAAGGCGCGAAATGATGGAAATCAGGCGTGCTGCGAAATTTTAGGCGGCAATGCGACCTTAAATTAACATTTGAGCTCAACCTATATAACAGAAAGAAAATTCCTTTACCCTGATTTTTTTTTGCTGTAGGGAACCTACAGGGTTATTCTTGTGAGCTTTTTTTATATACTGTAAGTAAACCAAATAAACTGAATATCCCTGTGAGCTTTTTTTATATACTGATAGGAAAAAAAAACAGCACACACAAAAAAATCCTATTTCCAGTACGGAGTGGTGTTTATTTTTTTTAATAACCTGCACTCACGTACATGGACAGTGGCCCTTTAATAAAAGGAAAAATGATACTTATACAGGTGGCTGTGTCGTGGCCCCTTAGTAAAAGGGAAGAATTAAAATAATGTAGCAAGCTTTTCTTCATGTTAAAATTAATTTATTAAAAATATGTGATGAATTAATATTGTCATAAATTGATGATGATTATTATTTAGCATGTTAGGAAGAGTTACTATTCGTTGTATAATGTGAGTCATCTAGGTTACGACGATTTTTACTAGATCTCAGTGACGAACACATAATTTTCGTTATAAAGTCATACTCCCACCAAAAAACGTCGTAAAATATGATGACTTAGCGACGAATTTAGCCATCGTCATGAGACAATCGTCGTTGAAGGTCATATCTCTTGTAGTGTCTCGACTGGACACCGCCTTCGCGAGTGCGTCGGCCGCCTCGTTGGGGCGCCTCGGGATGTGATTAAGTTCGAGGCCATCGAACCTGTCCTTCAGTCATCGGACTTCTTGGCAGTATGACGCCATCTTGGTGTCGGGGTAGCTTGACTCCTTCATGACTTGGTTAACAACTAGCTGAGAGTCGCCCCCCGAATGTCGAGGCGTCGGATGCCCAACTCGATGGCGATGCGCAGGCTGTTGACGAGTGCTTTGTATTCAGCCACATTATTTGATGGGGGGAAATGGAGCCGAACCATGTACCTCATGCGGACCCCGAGGGGTGATACGAAGACCAGCCCCGCGTCGGCGCCCTTCTTCATCAGCGACCCGTCAAAGTACATAGTCTAGTACTCTTGATCGATGACCGCCGGTGGCATCTGGACCTCGGTCCATTCCACGATGAAGTCAGCCAACACTTGGGACTTGATCGCCGTTCGGGGGGCATATGCGATGCCTTGATCCATCAGCTCGAGTGCCCACTTTGTGGTTCGTCCCGTGGCATCCTGGCTATGGACAACCTCACCGAGGGGGAACGATGTTATGACTGTCACATGGTGTGACTCGAAGTAATGGCGTAGCTTCCTCTTGGTAATGAAAACGGCGTATAGGAGCTTCTGGTTTTGGGAGTAGCTAGTTTTGGAGTCGGATAGTACCTCGCTGATGAAGTAATAGGGCGTTGCACCTTGAGGGCGTGCCCCTCTTCTTCCCGCTCTACTACCAGGGCGGTGCTGACCACTTACGTGGTGGCCGCTATGTATAGCAGGAGGGATTCTCCGTCGCTTGGAGGAAGTAGGACCGGGGGCTTTGTCAAAAGTAGTTTGACCATGTCAAGCGCCTCCTGGGCCTCGGCTGTCCACTCAAAGTGGTTGGCCTTCTTCAGGAGTCGATAAAGGGGGAGTCCTCGTTCGCCAAGGCGCGAGATGAATCGGCTGAGGGCGGCGAGGCACCCTGCGACTCGTTGAACCCCCTTTATATTCTAGATTGGGCCCATCCTTGTGATGGCTGAGATTTTCTTTGGGTTGGCTTCGATGCCACGCTCGGAGACGATGAAGCCGAGCAGCATGCCCCTCGAGACCCCGAAAACACACTTCACGGGATTGAGTTTGATGCCATTTGCCCGGAGTTTCGCAAAGGTTTGCTCAAGATCGGCGACAAGGTGACCAGCCCGTTTGGACTTAACTACGATGTCATCGACGTAGGCCTCAATGGTCTGCCCGATGAGGTCCACGAAGCAGTTGAGCATACAACGCTGGTATATCCGAGGGTTTCCACACAAAGATGTCTTTGTTGTCATGGAGGAAGTCGACGAGCGCGCTTTCCTATTCGGAGGAGAGCGTGGTACCAATGTGTACCGTTTTACCCTCGGAGCTGCTGGGGTCTATGAGGACCTCCTTGGAGCCCTCTGCCGATTCGAACGACCCGGTTGATTTCTTTGCATCGGGCGCTTCTTCGGCGACCTCCTCCTTGAGGGCGGCGAGTTCTCCGGAGGCGACGATTGCTGTGGCATGGCCGCAGCACTCGACCTCGCACTCGTAGGCCCGCTGGAAGGAGGTGCCGATGGTGATGACCTCGTGGGGGCCCGGCATCTTCAGCTTGAGGTATGTGTAGTTGGGGACGACCATGAACTTCGCGTAGCATGGTCATCCCAAGATGGCGTGGAAAGTTCTGGGAACCCAACCACCTCGAAGGTGAGGGTCTCGGTCCTATAATTGAACTGATCCCCGAAGGTGATGGGTAGATCGATCTGTCCCAGTGGCATGGTCTGTTTCCCGGGCACAATGCTGTGAAAGGGTGCTCGGGTTGGGCGGAGGTTCATTCGGTCGACGCCCATCTCATCGAGCGTCTTGGCGTACATGATGTTGAGGCCGCTGCCTCCGTCCATCAGTAATTTGGTGAGCCGCTTTGGGTCAACGATCGGATCGACGACAAGCGGATACCTTCTTGGGTGCGGGACGGTATCCGGATGGTTGGTCCGGTCGAAGGTTATGGTGGACTCCGACCATCGGAGGAAGGAAGGTGTGGCCGATTGTGCCGTGTCGACCTCGCGGCGTGCGACCTTCTAACGATGTTTGGAGTCGTAGGCCGCCAATGCTCCGAAGATCATAAGGCAGCCGTTCGGCGTCGGAAAGCCGTCGTCCTTCTCCTCGGCGTCATCGGTAGTGGGGGCAGGTTCCTTCCCCTGCTTCCCTTTGTTGGCGTTTCCGGCCAAGAACTTCCGCATGAGGCCACAGTCCTTGAGCAGATGTTTTATGGGAAAGGCGTGGTTCGGGCACAGCCCTTCGAGCATTTTTTGAAGTGATTCAGAGCGCCCTCCATAGGCTTCCGACCACCCTTATGGTCGGCAGCGATCATGAGCGAGTCGTCATGCCGTTGCTTCTTATTATTTCTTTTGGCGGAACGGTTGGAGGTGCCTTCGCTGGCGCCCTTGTCCCACCTCGCCTTGCTGTCGGAACGATCGAAGATTGCTCCGACCGCCTCTTCTCCTGAGGCATGGCTGGTGGCGATGTCCAGGAGCTCCTTGGTGGTCCGCGAGCCCTTGCGTCCCAGCTTGTGAATCAAAGACTCACAGGTTGTCCCAGATAGGAAGGTTCCTATCATGTCGGCGTTGGCGACGTTAGGGAGCTCGTTGCACTGTCGGAAGAAGCGCCGGCTGTACCCGTGGAGGGTTTCGCCGGCCTTCTGGCGATAGTTCTTGAGGTCCCAGGGGTTCCTAGGACACTTGTACATGCCCTAGAAGTTCCCCACAAAGATCTCCCTTAGGTCCACCCAACCTTGGATGGCGTCGGACGAAAGGTGCTCCAACCATGCTCGTGCCGAATCAGCGAGGAACAGTGGAAGGTTGCGGATAATGAAGTCATCATTATCCGCACCACTGGCTTGATAGGCAAGCCGATATTCTTCAAGCCAAAGCCTAGGGTTTGTCTCCTTGGAGTAGTTAGGGATGTTGGTAAGTGGTCGATACCTTGGCGGGAACGCAACGTTTAGGATGTGCCGGCCGAAGGCCTGAGGGCCTGGTAGGCCGGGGCTCGGGCTTCGGTCCTCATCGATGTCGTAGCATCCGCCGCGTCGAGGATGATAGCCACGATGGGTTCCTTCCCTTGGGTCGCCGTAGGTGCGCCTGTGGGCGTCAATGGTGCTACATGCGTCACGGTCACGGCCGAGACGCTGATGTATCTAGGTCGCAACGCGCTGCCCACCGCCCTATGGTGCTTGGTGGACTAATGCGTCCCTGGCGGGACGTACTAAGGGCGTACGCTTGCTAGTGTTGAGCTCGCATCATCGAGACAACGAGCTTTCCGCCTGCTGTGCCACCGCACGCTCGAGCAGCGTGCGGATTTCGCGGTGAGCCCGACGATCCTTAGGCGTTGCGGCCTCTGGAAGGCCATGGAGCAAGGCCATAGCAGCGGCGATGTTCTGGCTCACCCGAGCGAAGTGAGGAAGGGTTTCATCATCGGCGATGATCCTTCAGTTCACATTGCGGGCTACGACACGTGTGTGCCCATCGTCTCCACGGCGTTCGATCTCCCAATCCACCAACGCGTATTCCCGAACAAGCTGTTGTCCGGCCTCGTTGAGCTCCCATTTTTGGGCTTTTAGCTGCTCCACCCCTACGTGGGATGGGGCCGCCGTTCTTCCTTCGGTTCCGTCGCCGAGGGTACCCGCCGGAGTGACCTCCCTCTCAGAGGCACTTTCGACGTGTCCCTCGGATGTTTCCGCCATGAAGCATTCCCGGGAGGGATGATGGCTCCCCCTGCCGGAGTCAGAGGCAGAGTCCGACCATGGACCCTCTGCGAGGAGGCCGTGGAGAGATTCTGTGATGCTTTCGATCATCCCCACGAACTCGTTGTTCGCGGTGGACGGGATCGCGTGCTGGGCCACAAGGTGGCTTACGGTCACCGCGGTGTTGTGGAGACCAAACAGAAATGCCATCGAGGCACTCTGTGTGGAGCATTCCGGAGAGAGGGTGAGGCAGCATGGGGCCTCCCTGGATGGCTAGGGTCCAAGGGAGATGCTAGGCTAGCCCTCAAGCCTCAGGTAGCCAGAGCCGATGGATTTGGAATGCGCAAAGGCCCCTACCTGGCGCGCCAACTGTCG